TATGGGCTCTAGCGTTGTCATGCTGATAAATGACACCACGTGGCTGCTGTTGGAGAAATGGTAAGACAACTTGACGAAGAATGTTATCCATGTAACGCTGAGTTGTCAAGTTTCCGTCAACGATGACCAGCGGTGTCCTCTCCTGCCCACAGAACCCTCCCCACACCATGACACTCCCTCCACCATATGGTACGACCTCCTGCACGCAACACGCCGCCGTTCGTTCACCCCTTCGGCGGTAAACACGTTGTCTCCCATCGGCCCTAAACATACAGAATCGACTTTCGTCAGTGAAGACAACCCTCTGCCAGTCACGTCGTTGCCAACGTCGTACAGTCCGGGCCCATCTCAATCGCAGACGACAATGTTGCGCTGTCAATAGCTGTCCTCTGTATGGTCTAAAAGCCCTGATTCCATGAGCTCTGAATCTCCTGGCCACTGTCTGTCGATTAACCCTGTGACCTAAGGCATTTGTCGCCGATGACGTCACTGTCAGGAAGCGATTTCGGAGGTGCAAGGTACGCAAGTACCGATCATCATGGGGCGTCATCATATCACCAACCGTCCACACTGATATCACCAACCGTCCACACTGATATCATCAACCGTACACACTGATATCACCAACCGTACCCACTGATATCACCAACCGTACACACTGATATCACCAACCGTACACACTGATATCACAAACCACACGCTACACAATACATGCATCACATTCCATGTTGTACTGGTTCTGTTACGTTGTCATTTAATGGAATTGCATCATAGACATTTTACATTGTCAGTGTCACATACGTTTGTCATCCGGAGAGCTACTTGTGTCTGAAATGTTAAAAAACAAATCGAGTTGAGCAACTTGCAAAGCTTTGTGACCTGTATGTCTACAAATGTTTGTAGACTTGAATATACTTGAGAAAAGTGTTCACTCTTACACTAAATAAGCAGGGTTTGAGTACATTATATCAGTCAAAGCGGTGTAGATTCGTGTAATTTAACTGTTAGAGTAAAGGAATGTCTCAGATTTTACTGCCGCTTCGCGGAATATGATGTGTTTCAAACATCAACGATAACACGCGTTCTTCAACAAGTGTAATGCATTCAATGTGGATGGTATATACGCTATGTGTGTGTATGGGAAGTGGTGGTATGTACGCTACGTGTGTGTATGGGAAGTGATGGTATGTACGCTACGTGTGTGTATGGGAAGTGATGGTATGTACGCTACGTGTGTGTATAGGAAGTGATGGTATGTACGCTACGTGTGTGTATAGGAAGTGATGGTATGTACGCTACATGTGTGTATAGGAAGTGATGGTATGTACGCTACGTGTGTGTATGGGAAGTGATGGTATGTACGCTACATGTGTGTATAGGAAGTGATGGTATGTACGCTACGTGTGTGTATAGGAAGTGATGGTATGTACGCTACGTGTGTGTATAGGAAGCGGTGGTATGTACGCTACGTGTGTGTATAGGAAGCGGTAGTATGTACGCTACGTGTGTGCATAGGAAGTGATGGTATGTACGCTACGTGTGTGTATAGGAAGCGGTGGTATGTACGCTACGTGTGTGTATAGGAAGCGGTGGTATGTACGCTACGTGTGTGTATAGGAAGTGATGGTATGTACGCTACGTGTGTGTATAGGAAGCGGTGGTATGTACGCTACGTGTGTGTATAGGAAGTGATGGTATGTACGCTACGTGTGTGTATAGGAAGTGATGGTATGTACGCTACGTGTGTGTATAGGAAGTGATGGTATGTACGCTACGTGTGAATATAGGAAGTGATGGTATGTACGCTACGTGTGTGTATAGAAAGTGATGGTATGTACGCTACGTGTGTGTATAGGAAGTGATGGTATGTACGCTACGTGTGTGTATAGGAAGTGATGGTATGTACGCTACGTGTGTGTATAGGAAGTGATGGTATGTACGCTACGTGTGAATATAGGAAGTGATGGTATGTACGCTACGTGTGTGTATAGAAAGTGATGGTATGTACGCTACGTGTGTGTATAGGAAGTGATGGTATGTACGCTACGTGTGTGTATAGGAAGTGATGGTATGTACGCTACATGTGTGTATAGGAAGTGATGGTATGTACGCTACGTGTGTGTATGGGAAGTGATGGTATGTACGCTACGTGTGTGTATAGGAAGTGATGGTATGTACGCTACATGTGTGTATAGGAAGTGATGGTATGTACGCTATGTGTGTGTATGGGAAGTGATGGTATGTACGCTACATGTTTGTATAGGAAGTGATGGTATGTACGCTACATGTGTGTATAGGAAGTGATGGCATGTACGCTACATGTGTGTATAGGAAGTGATGGTATGTACGCTACATGTGTGTATGGGAAGTGGTGGTATGTACCCTACGTGTGTGTATAGGAAGTGATGGTATGTACGCTACATGTGTGTATAGGAAGTGATGGTATGTACGCTACATGTGTGTATGGGAAGTGATGGTATGTACCCTACGTGTGTGTTTAGGAAGTGATGGTATGTACGCTACGTGTGTGTATTGGAAGTGATGGTATGTACGCTACGTGTGTGTATAGAAAGTGATGGTATGTACCCTACGTGTGTGTATAGGAAGTGATGGTATGTACGCTACCAGTGTGTATAGGAAGTGATGGTATGTATGCTACGTGTGTGTATGGGAAGACATGGTATGTACGCTACGTGTTGGTATGGGAAGTGATGGTATGTACGCTACTGTAAATAACATTAAACTACGCTGATAACGAACACGATTATAACGAATTGACTGATATAACGAACTGACTGATATAACGAACTGTTTTTGGGGGACATTTCATCATGTAAAATGGATGTATATAACGAACACGCTTACGGCGAAAAAAGGGAAAACAGCGAACGCACTTTGTGGTCTATTATCTAACGTTTTGTGTCATTCACGAACTAGTGTTTGTGGAATGCTAAATCACTTTACGTGCAGTAGTTTAGTTAATCAGAAGTGGCTGTCACGTGACAGATAGTTTGGTTTTTTCACATTCTCTCAAAAAGCTATATCCCTCTCCTGTGGACATAAAGAAACAAACAATTAAAACTTTATAGCTTGTGTGGGTTTAATAGTGCTAGTCAACTGAGATGCCATTGCCCTGGACACCCTACCCAGACACAGTATGCTGACTTCGAGCCAACCAGTTCTTGTTTTACCCCCTTATTACCTAGCGTCATACAGGACAACAAGTATTTTCTTTTAACGTCTTTTGGGATGATACGGCCGGGGATCGAGCTCCGACATTCCGATGTATCCGCTGGACCACAGGGGCGGACATAGACGTATCACTTGTGTACGGAGAGTTTTCTATTAAACACATCATCTTACATGTCTCACAACACTCGACCACTGACCCACCACACTCGACCAGTGGCTCACAACACTCGACTAATGTCTCACAACACTCGTCCAATGTCTCACCACACTCGACTAATGTCTCACAACACTCGACTAATGTCTCACAACACTCGACCACTGACTCACCACACTCGACCAGTGGCTCACAACACTCGACTAATGTCTCACAACACTCGTCCAATGTCTCACAACACTCGACTAATGTCTCACAACAGTCGACTAATGTCTCACAACACTCGACTAATGTCTCACAACACTCGACCACTGACCCACCACACTCGACCAGTGGCTCACAACACTCGACTAATGTCTCACAACACTCGTCCAATGTCTCACAACACTCGACTAATGTCTCACAACACTCGACTAATGTCTCACCACACTCGACCACTGACTCACCACACTCGACCAGTGGCTCACAACACTCGACTAATGTCTCACAACACTCGCCTAATGTCTCACAACACTCGACTAATGTCTCACAACAGTCGACTAATGTCTCACAACACTCGACCACTGACTCACCACACTCGACCAGTGGCTCACAACACTCGACTAATGTCTCACAACACTCGACTAATGTCTCACAACACTCGGCCAATGTCTCACAACACTCGGCCAATGTCTCACAACACTCGGCCAATGTCTCACAACACTCGTTTAATGTCTCACCACAAACGCCCAATGTCTCAGAACACTATCCCAATGTCTCACCACACTTGACCAATGGCTCACAACACTCGACTAATGTCTCACAACACTCGACTAATGTCTCACAACACTCGTCCAATGTCTCACAACACTCGGCCAATTTCTCACAACACTCGTTTAATGTCTCACCACAAACGCCCAATGTCTCATAACACTATCCCAATGTCTCACAACACTTGACCAATGGCTCACAACACTCGACTAATGTCTTACAACACTCGAACAATGACTCACCACACTCGGCAAATGTCTAACCACAAACGCCCAATGTCTCGGAACACTATCCCAATGTCTCACCACACTCGCCCAATGTCTCACAACACTCGTCCAATGTCTCACAACACTCGGCCAATTTCTCACAACACTCGTTTAATGTCTCACCACAAACGCCCAATGTCTCATAACACTATCCCAATGTCTCACAACACTTGACCAATGGCTCACAACACTCGACTAATGTCTCACAACACTCGGCCAATGTCTCACAACACTCGGCCAATGTCTCACAACAATCGTTTAATGTCTCACCACAAACGCCCAATGTCTCACAACACTATCCCAATGTCTCACCACACTTGACCAATGGCTCACAACACTCGACTAATGTCTCACAACACTCGACTAATGTCTCACAACACTCGTCCAATGTCTCACAACACTCGGCCAATTTCTCACAACACTCGTTTAATGTCTCACCACAAACGCCCAATGTCTCATAACACTATCCCAATGTCTCACAACACTTGACCAATGGCTCACAACACTCGACTAATGTCTTACAACACTCGAACAATGACTCACCACACTCGGCAAATGTCTAACCACAAACGCCCAATGTCTCGGAACACTCACCCAATGTCTCACCACACTCGACCAATGTCTCACCACACTCGACCAATGTCTCACAACACTCGTCCAATGTCTCACAACACTCGTCCAATGTGTCACAACACTCGCCCAATGTCTCACAACACTCGGCCAATGTCTTACAACACTCGAACAATGACTCACCACACTCGGCCAATGTCTCACCTCAAACGCCCAATGTCTCAGAACACTATCCCTATCTCTCATCACAATCGACCAATATCTCACAACACTCACCCAATGTCTCACCACACTCGACCAATGTCTCAGAACACTATCCCAATGTCTCACCACACTCACCCAATGTCTCACCACACTCGACCAATGTCTCACCCCAAACGCCCAATGTCTCACAACACTCGCCCTATCCCAATGTCTCACCACACTCACCCAATGTCTCACCACACTCGACGAATGTCTCACCTCAAACGCCCAATGTCTCAGAACACTCGCCCTATTCCAATGTCTCACCACACTCGACCAATGTCTCACAACACTCACCCAATGTCTCACAACAATCGCCCAATGTTTCACCACACTCGACTAGTGTCTTACAACTCTCGACCAATGACTCACAAAAACTCGCCCGATGACTCACAACACACGACCAATATCTCACAACACTCGACCCATATCTCACAACTCTCGACCAATGACTCACAAAAACGCGCCCGATGACTCACAACACTCGACCAATATCTCACTTCTCTCGACCAATGACTCACAAAACTGGCCCGATCTCGCGATGACTCACAACACACGACCAATATCTCACAACACTCGACCCATATCTCACAACTCTCGACCAATGACTCACAAAACTCGCCCGATGACTCACAACACACGACCAATATCTCACAACTCTCGACCAATATCTCACAACTCTCGACCAATATCTCACAACTCTCAACCAATGACTCACAAAACTCGCCTAATGTCTCACAACACTCGACCAATGTCTCACAACACTCGCCTAATGTCTAACCACACTATCCCAATGGCTCACCACACTCGACCAATATCTCACAACACTCACCCAATGTCTCACCACACTCTGCCAATGTCTCACCACACTCGACCAATGTCTCAGAACACTCGCCCAATGTCTCACAACACTCGCCCAATGTCTCACAACACTAACCCAATGTCTCACACCACTCGCCTAATGTCTCAGAACACTCGGCCAATGTCTCACAACACTCGCCTAATGTCTCGTAACACTCGCCTAATGTCACACAACACTCGCACAATGACTCACCACACTCGCCCAATGTCTCACCTCAAACGCCCAATGTCTCAGAACACTATCCCAATGTCTCATAACACTCGACCAATATCTCACAACACTCACCCAATGTCTCACCACACTCGCCCAATGTCTCAGAACACTATCCCAATGTCTCACCACACTCACCCAATGTCTCACCACACTCGACCAATGTCTCACCTCAAACGCCAAATGTCTCAGAACACTATCCCAATGTCTCACCACACTCGACCAATGTCTCACAACACTCACCCAATGTCTCACAACAATCGCCCAATGTTTCACCACACTCGACTAGTGTCTTACTAACTCTCGACCAATGACTCACAAAAACTCGCCCGATGACTCATAACACACGACCAATATCTCACAACACTCGACCCATATCTCACAACTCTCGACCAATGACTCACAAAAACGCGCCCGATGACTCACAACACACGACCAATATCTCACAACTCTCGACCAATATCTCACAACTCTCGAGCAATATCTCACAACTCTCAACCAGTGACTCGAAAAACTCGCCTAATGTCTCACAACACTCGACCAATGTCTCACAACACTCGCCTAATGTCTCACAACACTCGCCTTATGTCACACAACACTATCCCAATGGCTCACCACACTCGACCAATATCTCACAACACTCACCCAATGTCTCACCAGACTCTGCCAATGTCTCACCACACTCGACCAATGTCTCACAACACTATCCCAATGTCTCACCACACTCACCCAATGTCTCACAACACTCGACCAATTTCTCGGAACACTATCCCAATGTCTCACCACACTCGACCAATGTCTCACAACACTCACCCATTGTCTCACAACACTCGCCTAATGTCTCACAACACTCGCCCAATGTCTCACAACACTCGCCCAATGTCTCATAACACTATCCCAATGTCTCACAACACTCGTTTAATGTCTCACCACAAACGCCCAATGTCTCATAACACTATCCCAATGTCTCACAACACTTGACCAATGGCTCACAACACTCGACTAATGTCTCACAACACTCCTCCAATGTCTCACAACACTCGCCTAATGTCTCACAACACTCGCCCAATGTCTCACAACACTCGCCCAATGTCTCACAACACTCACCCAATGTCTCACAACACTCGTTTAATGTCTCACCACAAACGCCCAATGTCTCATAACACTATCCCAATGTCTCACAACACTTGACCAATGGCTCACAACACTCACCCAATGTCTCACCACAGTCGACCAATGTCTCACCACAAACGCCCAATGTCTCATAACACTATCCCAATGTCTCACAACACTTGACCAATGGCTCACAACACTCGACTAATGTCTCACAACACTCGTCCAATGTCTCACAACACTCGGCCAATGTCTTACAACACTCGAACAATGACTCACCACACTCGGCAAATGTCTAACCACAAACGCCCAATGTCTCGGAACACTATCCCAATGTCTCACCACACTCGCCCAATGTCTCACAACACTCGTCCAATGTCTCACAACACTCGGCCAATGTCTTACAACACTCGAACAATGACTCACCACACTCGGCAAATGTCTAACCACAAACGCCCAATGTCTCGGAACACTCACCCAATGTCTCACCACACTCGACCAATGTCTCACAACACTCGACCAATGTCTCACAACACTCGCCTAATGTCACACCACACTCGTCCAATGTGTCACAACGCTCGCCCAATGTCTCACAACACTCGTCCAATGTCTCACAACACTCGGCCAATGTCTTACAACACTCGAACAATGACTCACCACACTCGGCAAATGTCTAACCACAAACGCCCAATGTCTCGGAACACTCACCCAATGTCTCACCACACTCGACCAATGTCTCACAACACTCGACCAATGTCTCACAACACTCGCCTAATGTCACACAACACTCGTCCAATGTGTCACAACACTCGCCCAATGTCTCACAACACTCGGCCAATGTCTTAGAACACTCGAACAATGACTAACCACACTCGGCCAATATCTCACCTCAAACGCCCAATGTCTCAGAACACTATCCCAATCTCTCATCACACTCGACCAATATCTCACAACACTCACCCAATGTCTCACCACACTCGACCAATGTCTCAGAGCACTATCCCAATGTCTCACCACACTCACCCAATGTCTCACCACACTCGACCAATGTCTCACCCCAAACGCCCAATGTCTCACAACACTCGCCCTATCCGAATGTCTCACCACACTCACCCAATGTCTCACCACACTCGACGAATGTCTCACCTCAAACGCCCAATGTCTCAGAACACTCGCCCTATTCCAATGTATCACCACACTCGACCAATGTCTCACAACACTCACCCAATGTCTCACAACAATCGCCCAATGTTTCACCACACTCGACTAGTGTCTTACAACTCTCGACCAATGACTCACAAAAACTCGCCCGATGACTCACAACACACGACCAATATCTCACAACACTCGACCCATATCTCACAACTCTCGACCAATGACTCACAAAAACGTGCCCGATGACTCACAACACTCGACCCATATCTCACTTCTCTCGACCAATGACTCACAAAACTGGCCCGATCTCGCGATGACTCACAACACACGACCAATATCTCACAACACTCGACCCATATCTCACAAATCTCGACCAATGACTCACAAAACTCGCCCGATGACTCACAACACACGACCAATATCTCACAACTCTCGACCAATATCTCACAACTCTCGACCATTATCTCACAACTCTCAACCAATGACTCACAAAACTCGCCTAATGTCTCACAACACTCGACCAATGTCTCACAACACTCGCCTAATGTCTAACCACACTATCCCAATGGCTCACCACACTCGACCAATATCTCACAACACTCACCCAATGTCTCACCACACTCTGCCAATGTCTCACCACACTCTGCCAATGTCTCACCACACTTGACCAATGTCTCAGAACACTCGCCCAATGTCTCACAACACTCGCCCAATGTCTCACAACACTAACCCAATGTCTCACAACACTCGCCTAATGTTTCAGAACACTCGGCCAATGTCTCACAACACTCGCCTAATGTCTCACAACACTCGCCTAATATCACACAACACTCGTCCAATGTGTCACAACGCTCGCCTAATGTCTCACAACACTCGCCCAAAGTCTCACAACACTCGCCCAATGTCTCACAACACTCACCCAATGTCTCACAACACTCGTTTAATGTCTCACCACAAACGCCCAATGTCTCACAACACTCGTCCAATGTCTCACAACAATCGGCCAATGTCCTACAACACTCGAACAATGACTCACCACACTCGGCAAATGTCTAACCACAAACGCCCAATGTCTCGCAACACTATCCCAATGTCTCACCACACTCGCCCAATGTCTCACAACACTCGTCCAATGTCTCACAACACTCGGCCAATGTCTTACAACACTCGAACAATGACTCACCACACTCGGCAAATGTCTAACCACAAACGCCCAATGTCTCGGAACACTCACCCAATGTCTCACCACACTCGACCAATGTCTCACAACACTCGACCAATGTCTCACAACACTCGCCTAATGTCACACAACACTCGTCCAATGTGTCACAACGCTCGCCCAATGTCTCACAACACTCGTCCAATGTCTCACAACACTCGGCCAATGTCTTACAACACTCGAACAATGACTCACCACACTCGGCAAATGTCTAACCACAAACGCCCAATGTCTCGGAACACTCACCCAATGTCTCACCACACTCGACCAATGTCTCACAACACTCGACCAATGTCTCACAACACTCGCCTAATGTCACACAACACTCGTCCAATGTGTCACAACGCTCGCCCAATGTCTCACAACACTCGGCCAATGTCTTACAACACTCGAACAATGACTCACCACACTCGGCCAATGTCTCACCTCAAACGCCCAATGTCTCAGAACACTATCCCAATCTCTCATCACACTCGACCAATATCTCACAACACTCACCCAATGTCTCACCACACTCGACCAATGTCTCAGAACACTATCCCAATGTCTCACCACACTCACCCAATGTCTCACCACACTCGACCAATGTCTCACCTCAAACGCCCAATGTCTCACAACACTCGCCCTATCCAAATGTCTCACCACACTCACCCAATGTCTCACCACACTCGACGAATGTCTCACCTCAAACGCCCAATGTCTCAGAACACTCGCCCTATTCCAATGTCTCACCACACTCGACCAATGTCTCACAACACTCACCCAATGTCTCACAACAATCGCCCAATGTTTCACCACACTCGACTAGTGTCTTACAACTCTCGACCAATGACTCACAAAAACTCGCCCGATGACTCAAAACACACGACCAATATCTCACAACACTCACCCAATGTCTCACAACACTCACCCAATGTCTCACAACACTCGTTTAATGTCTCACCACAAACGCCCAATGTCTCAGAACACTATCCCAATGTCTCACAACACTTGACCAATGGCTCACAACACTCGACTAATGTCTCACAACACTCGTCCAATGTCTCACAACAATCGGCCAATGTCCTACAACACTCGAACAATGACTCACCACACTCGGCAAATGTCTAACCACAAACGCCCAATGTCTCGGAACACTATCCCAATGTCTCACCACACTCGCCCAATGTCTCACAACACTCGTCCAATGTCTCACAACACTCGGCCAATGTCTTACAACACTCGAACAATGACTCACCACACTCGGCAAATGTCTAACCACAAACGCCCAATGTCTCGGAACACTCACCCAATGTCTCACCACACTCGACCAATGTCTCACAACACTCGACCAATGTCTCACAACACTCGCCTAATGTCACACAACACTCGTCCAATGTGTCACAACACTCGCCCAATGTCTCACAACACTCGGCCAATGTCTTACAACACTCGAACAATGACTAACCACACTCGGCCAATATCTCACCTCAAACGCCCAATGTCTCAGAACACTATCCCAATCTCTCATCACACTCGACCAATATCTCACAACACTCACCCAATGTCTCACCACACTCGACCAATGTCTCAGAGCACTATCCCAATGTCTCACCACACTCACCCAATGTCTCACCACACTCGACCAATGTCTCACCCCAAACGCCCAATGTCTCACAACACTCGCCCTATCCGAATGTCTCACCACACTCACCCAATGTCTCACCACACTCGACGAATGTCTCACCTCAAACGCCCAATGTCTCAGAACACTCGCCCTATTCCAATGTATCACCACACTCGACCAATGTCTCACAACACTCACCCAATGTCTCACAACAATCGCCCAATGTTTCACCACACTCGACTAGTGTCTTACAACTCTCGACCAATGACTCACAAAAACTCGCCCGATGACTCACAACACACGACCAATATCTCACAACACTCGACCCATATCTCACAACTCTCGACCAATGACTCACAAAAACGTGCCCGATGACTCACAACACTCGACCCATATCTCACTTCTCTCGACCAATGACTCACAAAACTGGCCCGATCTCGCGATGACTCACAACACACGACCAATATCTCACAACACTCGACCCATATCTCACAAATCTCGACCAATGACTCACAAAACTCGCCCGATGACTCACAACACACGACCAATATCTCACAACTCTCGACCAATATCTCACAACTCTCGACCATTATCTCACAACTCTCAACCAATGACTCACAAAACTCGCCTAATGTCTCACAACACTCGACCAATGTCTCACAACACTCGCCTAATGTCTAACCACACTATCCCAATGGCTCACCACACTCGACCAATATCTCACAACACTCACCCAATGTCTCACCACACTCTGCCAATGTCTCACCACACTCTGCCAATGTCTCACCACACTTGACCAATGTCTCAGAACACTCGCCCAATGTCTCACAACACTCGCCCAATGTCTCACAACACTAACCCAATGTCTCACAACACTCGCCTAATGTTTCAGAACACTCGGCCAATGTCTCACAACACTCGCCTAATGTCTCACAACACTCGCCTAATATCACACAACACTCGTCCAATGTGTCACAACGCTCGCC